GTGCCCATAAAAAATTATCTTCACTTTCACTGTGAAAAACTATTGTTAGTCCATTTTCAAGGGATACATTTCGATGTAGGTAAACATTTTTACCAACATATTTACATATTTCCAAGTTGTGCTTTTGTTTTATAGACGTCGCTCTAAACAAATATTTAATTTAAATCATTTTTAGATAATAATCAATATTGGTCGTAGAAAAAGTATAGTATGCAACTCGTTTATAGACATTCATTGAATTAAACACTCGCTCGCAAGCTCGTTCGTGCCTTATTTAAATTCGTGACTAAAATGGCGTTTATCAAACTTGATACATAATACCTATATCTACTATTATTGAGTCGATGCACTTGGGCGAAAAATTCAAAAAGGAGGGGGGGCTGTTTAAAAAACTACAAAATGCATACTAACCTATTTTCCTAAGTACATGTACAATATTTTTTTAATTAGTGCTGCTTTAAAAAAAACAATAGCATAAATTGTAGGGAGCAATTCTAACTACATTTTTTGTTTATGTATAAACAATGTATACATTGTTTTCCTAAACCTCACGGTTTTAGATAAAAATAAAATTTCAAAATAACAAAACAAAAAAAATTAAAATGATTTGACCCTAATGCGGTGTATTAAATACGCGATTTAAAAATGAAAAAAATTCAAAATTCAAAAAATGTATTAAAAACCTGTAAAAATAAAAAATCGTTATAACTTTATTGTTTCTGGGAATTTTGAAAAAGTAAGTTAACATACACATTTATCTATCTATATATTTATCCAATATCATACTAGTAGTGATTCACTACTATAGTATATATATTTAGGCAGTGATGTAACCGATACATTTTTTTCAGTATCTAGGTACCGATACAGATACTCTCTGGTAGATGTATCTGGATACAGATACCGATACATTTTCCCAAAAGTATCTGGGTACAGATACAGATACATTCAAAAAATATCTAAGTTACTTCCAGATACTATGTTAAAAAAACTTAAAAATTAAATGACAAAAAAATTTTTTTTGGACCTTATAAACAAGCGTGTTAACTATAAAATAAAACTGTTTTGATAAAATTGACGAAATATCCATGAAAAACGGAAATAAATTTTATATTTACGCGCCATATGAAAGCTTACTACAAAATTTGTAGTACAAATTCAAAATTATCAGAACGAAGAAAAGCCAACTATAGGTAACCTACAGCGCTTTTGTTTAACTTTACTCACTAGTGCCTATAGGCATAAGAGTTACTTTATGCACTTCGCACTCCAAAGTGGGTTGAAGGGAAAAAGAAATAAAATATCTTTTTATTATTTGTGGCCCACACGGTGTGGAGTTGCAATCAGGTTGGGTAAAATAAAATGTATCTTGTATCTAAGGATCTAGATACTTTCAAAAGGATACTAAAGTAGATCCTGATTTTTTTAAGTATCTCGATACGTATCTAGGTACATAAAATGTATCTAGATCCAGTATCTAGATACATGTATCTCGATACATTACATCACTGTATTTAGGTACCATAACCATTCATTATAATGGATTCCTTGATTTTCTTATTCCAATATAGGAAAAACAAAAGTGATGGTAACTCAAAATCTAGTATACTTCGCCTATAGGCGAAAAAAATGACAAATTGGATAAAAATGTAGATAAATGTATATGTTTTCATAGGAAACTTACTTTTTTTTTAATTAGGTACCAGGAATAACGAAGTTATAGGAATTTTTGGTTTTGACAGGTTTTGTGTTTTTTATAAATCATTTTAGAACCGCATTTATTTTCAAATTTTGAAATGCCATTTTAATAGACGTGTAGTTACGCAACTTTTCTTTAATTTAACCGAATTAGTAGCTCTACAAATAAAAAAGATACCCATGTATGCATACATAAAACTTCTATGATAGAAGGGTGTAGAAATTTTGGGAGAAAATTGAATAGTGGAATCCTTCAGTGGCATGCATACGCATATGTATGAAAAAAAATATTGTAATGTTTATTTTAATAAATTTTTTTATTTTTTTTTCGTAATTAAGTAATCCTTAGTTCTACCAACAAATAAAACATTAGCTAACATTTTTTCTTCCAGTGTTAAAATGTTATTAAAAAACTTAACACCCTGTAACTTGGAAACGAAAACCCGTGAAGTAGGTATAACATTATTTTTTTGCTGAAGAATCCACTGTTAAATTTTCTCCCATTTCTTAATAGCAATTTTGTAAAATGCGGAACATTTTGGGGGGGAACATCCCTAGATGCCTTGAGAAATTTATGACATCTAGCAATCCTAGTTGCATACCTACATATATGACAATTTGTCATTGCAATGTCATGACAAATGCTGTCCCATTCATTTTTTTAATGATGTCAATTTTTGAAATATTTATTTAAACCATTTTAACCTTAAATATGTTGAACCAAACAAAAACCATGTAAAAAAAGAATAATTGTATACTCGTATGTGCTGGTAGAAAAAAAAACGATAAAGCACGGGCAACGGAGCATCGCGTTAAACGGCCGAGGACGTCGTAATTCGTGGCTAATAAGCAGAGTAAACAAAGATTAGAGGCGGCCGTGGATGGCTGACTGATGTCTTTTTCTCTTCCGCCGATTTGTTAAATGCGTACACGTGTCGCACTAATTCCACAGCCTACTACGTAGCCGCCGGGATTCGCAGCCAAAGCCTACTTAATCCGCTGGGATATGTTTTTATTTAAGCCTCGAGAAGATAGATTGAGAATGCTTTATAACTTTTTTGCATGTTTATTAGACTGGGCCAAAAATATCGACTATTTTTTTTTATAAAGTATATCGAAAATATTGCTTGGGTTGACAAAAAAATTATGGTGAAAGTTAATTAATGTTAAGAGGTCTATCATCGCAATTTTAGATTTTTTTTCCTGAGCCAGTTTTTGTCTCAGAACTTCCAAACTACTGAGTTTAACAAAATTGACTTAAAAATATTTTTTGAAGAAAATTGAATGCTCTACAATAAAGGTTTGATTGGAATTTCCCGTCAGATGAACCGTTTTCTTACAATCATGCCTTAAACATTGGTATAGTTTTACAATTTGATATTTTAACTTTGGAATTTTGTAATTCATGTAAAAATCAGTACCCGAAAAAAAACCGATAGATATTCTTATGGGAAATCAAATGCTTTACAAAAAAAGTCTACTAACATTTTCGGCTAAATTCACTCCATCAAAAGTTATTCAAGGTTAAATTTGAAGTCAAAACGAAATTCTTGTTTTTTCCGCTCTAGATTTTTTTTGGGTCAGTTAAAAGCTTGAATTCTTCTATCGATGATAATCTTTATGTTATTGATAAAATTACTGAAAATTTAAAAAAAATAACACATTCTAATTTTTTCGCTTTAAGAAGCTATTTTTTTAGAAAATATTATTTTCACTGTTACCTATTTAATCGTTTAAATAATAACAATCATGTTGTTTTTTTTGAAAATTGTTAATTAGTTATATAATAGACATTTAAAAAGAAAAAAATCAAATTATCTACAAAAGAAAAAAACAAGAATTTCGTTTTGACTTCAACTTTAACCTTGAATAACTTTTGATTCAGTGAATTTAGCCAAAAATGTTAAGAGACTTTTTTTGTAGAGCATTTGATTTCCCATAAGAATATTCATCGGTTTTTTTCCGGTACTGATTTTTACATGAATTACAAAATTCCAAAGTTAAAAGATCAAAATGTAAATCTATACCAATTTTTAAGGCATGATTTTTGGGAAACGGTTCATTTGACGGAAAATTTCATTTTAACCTTTTTTGTAGAGCATTCAATTTCCTTAAAAAATATCTAAAATGCTAAACTCAATGGTTTGGGAGTTCTGAGACAAAACTCGCTCAGGAAAAAAATTTAAAATTGCTGTGATAGACCTCTTAATATTAATATTATGGACTTAAACTTTCACAATATTTTTTTTGTCACCCCAAATATATTGTCAAAGCAATTGGTTAACCATTATAGGTACCAATATTTTTTTAGTCAAAAGCTTAATTTGTATTATAATAACATTTAGCAATTTAAAATTAAAAAGTCGATAAAGTAAACTTTACATTAATAAATTAAAATTAAAATTTTCAATTCAGGTAACCTTAATTATGCTATAAATTTAGTTTCCGGCAATATTTATTAATTAAATTTATCAATTAATTTTCAATTAATTTATTAATTAATTTTCATTTAAATTTTCATTAAATTTAACATGTAATTAATCTACTATTATTTTAGTATTTATTATTAAAAAGGTTTAAATTTAGATGTATACCTAATTGATTTTTATTAAACAATTAAAAATTGACATATCTTTGGTTATAATTAATAAAAGTAAAATATATATGATTTTTGTTACAATTTTTATAAACATATTTATGTATTTTCTGTAAACATTGACCTACGAAAATCAGTCCTTGGAACGCCACTGTCACTTATCCCCCCAAGCAGTAAGTTATCGGCTGTCCAAACTCGAGAGACAATGGAATTGTGCATTTGGTGGCCGCTCCCCTGTCATTGTTAAAATCCCCGCACGCCATTGGTCCTTCAAGCGCCATCTTTGGGGTGGCAGGTGGGGGAACCCCATTGTGTTCGAAAACCAGTATCTAAAGGCCGACCCCCTACGACAAATAACCGTGAATTAACAAAAATGGTCTAGGGTCACAAGTAAATCTGGTTAAAAATGATTTTAGCACCATTAAACAATGTCAGTTTCCACTAAAAAAATTTGGCTAAAAAATAATGAATTATAATATTTTGCATTAAAAAGTTGTTAAATATTACCTAAAATATAATTAAACAACAAACAATTAAATGATATATGTAGGTACATTTAAAATAGAATCAAATTTACAGAAAAACAATATTAAATTCATAGTTTAAATTTTAACTTATAATTTCATATACTGTAAGTATATGTATAATTTTTCCTAATGCGCCATCTATGACCATCGCTTTAAACTTCCATCCTTACTTCTTACAGGTTCCGATAATTACATAAAGAAAGTGCAAACATAACCTCAAAATCTTCACTTGTCAAAATGAGAAATAAAATCAAAAATACGTAAAATGTACCGACAAATCGAAAAATTAGGCACTCCGTTGAGGTACAACGTTAAAAATATTCTGGGAAAAACAAATGTACCTCAAAATAACTCGCCTAATTTTTTTTCTACGTTTAACAGGAATTTTTATTTTTCAAAGCTTCTACTACCTAAAGTGAGTATTAGTTACTTATATAACCTATTTTTATATATTATTTTGTTGTTTTAGTATGTAAAAAGTATACAAAGAGAATACAGTGCTGTATGCTCATTATTGCATCGTTCGGGGTTAAACGATGTAAGCAGTATTAATAAAATTTTGCAATGTAAACATTACAGTAACGGTCCTGTTAAACCACCGGGGCCCCCGAAACCTGAAAATAATGAAAATAATGACCCCAATAAACCCAATGGGGATGAAGATAAGGATAAGATATCATCGTTACTTGCCAAAGCATTTCTTTGGATGCTGACTGCTTATATGGTTATAGCGATTATTTCACTTATGTTTCCTAGTAGTAATCAGCCTGAGGTGAGTGATTATTTATTTATTTTTAATGATTTTTAAAAATTGTCAAATCCATGTTTACCTAATAATATTAGGCTAAATTAGCTATATTAAATATCAACAAAGATATTATAGAATGTCAAAAACCTATTTTGAAAGTTTAAAAATGTTAAAAACAAATGTATCAATGTCAAAAGTACTTTAAATTGTAAAAATACATTGAAGAATGTCAAATTTACTAAAAAAAATAAAACAAATTTTAGATTGCAAGTGTCACATACCGTAAACACGGGTGACTGCACCCCGCGGGTGACTTTAACCCATTTATAAAAAATCTTTTCGCGCTCGATAAAATTAACATTTATAATTTCTTGGTATAAACCTGTCAATTGAGCGATTCTATATATATATATATATATATTATATTGAGTTTATATTACAGGAAAATCAGTGTTTTAAAGAAAGAAATAGGATTTATTACACTTTAAAATTGTATATATCGCATCAGTGCAAAACTCTTAGAAATACACGCGTTACAATTTCTATAATATGCGCAATCCATTGGAATGAATATCCTTGGTTAACTACAGGTCGATTTTTTATTTTTTTTATCGGTAATCCCTTGCAATAGTCTATTGTCAATAGATATATGTCGCTGCTAACACGTGTCTAATATAAATAAAATATAATATTGAATTTATTTTATACGGAAAAGTAACCCGCAACCAGGGGGTAACTTTGCACACCCAGTTTTTAATTTTTATTTTTGAAACTCAGCCCTATGTAATATTATAACATAGTTATTATGAAAGAGCAACTCAAGACTCAAATTTTGGTATACAAAATTTAATGTTTATGATTGTTAAAACCACAAAAATTTTAAGCTTAAGTTTGAAAGTGAGCTAAAGCCACCCGTGTTTACGGTACCTAATATAAAAAGATTTTTTTTACTAAAAACACATTTTTTAGATTGTCAGATATGTATCTTGGAATGAATTTTTATACCAAATGTTGGGCAAAGGTGAAGTAGAAGAAATTATAGTAAGACCTGATATAGAAATAGTCACTATAATTCTACACAATGGGGCCGTCATTAAAGGAAAAAGGGTAATACCAAAACAAAAGAAAAACAACCCAAAAAATTATATTCACATTTTTTGACCTAGGTGGAAAATAAAACCTTTCACATGAATGTCTCAGATATAAACAAGTTTGAAGACAAGCTCAGGGAGGCTGAAAGAAGGATAGGCATTGTAGATGGCGTACCAGTCACTTATGAACGTGGAACGGACACAGCTGGAAAGTTGCTTATATCTTTGTTATTTGTGGCCTTATTAATTTCTTTATTGGCCAGAAGCAAGAGCATAAGGCCACCTATAAGCATGGACACATTTGTAAGTTATAAATTTAATATACTTAATTAGATTATTTATTATTTTTCCATGACTTCCCTAAGGTATAGAGTATGCTATCTTTTTTATATAAAAATTTTGTTTTGGCCAGAAATCTTCTTTTACAAAACCCATTTTGTAAATTTTAAATCATATTAAAATATGTGAAACTACTTAAAAAGATCGAAAACAAATTTAGACTGTATATCAAGAATATTCATAGTAAATGCCACACCATTGATTAATATACTCATTTACTCAACAGTTACACTGTTTTTTTACAATTAAAGAAATTATCAAAAATTGACAACCATATTTAAGAAAGACAAAGACACTTTAGAATGTAAAGATAGTAATTTTTTCAATATCATTGTCAAAAAGTCGGCTTTTTTGTTGACATTTAAGTGTCAAAAAAGGTCATTTTTGACAGTGCAAAAAAGTAATTTTTTGCACTCTTATTTTTGCACTACAATTAAATCAGCACATAATTAAATTAAATAATTTTTATTCAAGAAAACAATTGATTTAATTTTAATTGTTATTAATATTAATACCAAAATTACAATTTATTCCTTGAGGCCGTAAATAAATTTTAAAAAAGTTTTGACATACGCTAAAGGAGTATTGCTAGTAGCGCCACCACTCGGCTGTTATCATCGTAACAAAAGTACAACCTTTGATAATCAGCTGTCAAACGCGTTTGTTACAAACGAGTGTTTTTGAGAATAAAGCCGGAAAATGTTAAAAAATATCGATTTGTTGTATTTTTGGGTGTAGGAAGGAGGAAATCTTGGATTGAGTTTTTATCGGTTTCCCAATAAACAGTGTTAATCCGAATGAAGAAATAAATTTCATACAGTTCCTGTAAATATAAATTGTATCTATTAGATACAATAAATACACATTTTAGTAATGATTAACGTGAAAAGTGTAAACATTTCAATTCAGTAAAAATCGTCAAACAAATAAGTCGTCTAAATTTAAACAGCATTTAGCATTATTAAAAGCGTTGATTAAGAATTCTTTAAAGTCTCCACTCAACGGTAAAATGCCATTATATTATGTATTATATATAATATTATGTTGCCATGAATTTGTGGGTATATTTTGTTGTTTAAAATGCAGTTGTCGGCGTTTTTTAGAGAACTCAAATATAAAAATGGTTAATTTTAAGGTTATGTTTGTGCAAAAATTATTTTTTACTAATTTCTTAAAAATGTCCAAACTTAAAAATAAATTATATTAGGTAAAGTTATCATTAGTTAATTCTGTACCAACAAATATACTTACCGAATTGGATCTTTTGGCAAAACATGAAAATGCAACGATTTAGTTCTTGAATTTTATTTAAAATTAAAAACACAATAATTCACCATGATCCCTTATATAAAATACACACACTGACATAACTATATAAGCATTTAAGCGTTGAGTTTCTTAATCAATGATATAAGGAATAATCAATCGAAATCGAGTACTAAAAAAGTTTTTTAGTTTTTTCCTTGCAACGTAAAACACAAATAACGTGCGCGATTTGGCTGTGCAATTGAACAAAATTTGTCGAGTAAGACTTCTGCCTTCCTCTTTTTTGTGAAAAAACTACCTATTTATTTAAAAATGATGTACGCTTTATATGTATTGTTGGCAATTCTTAAATTCACACAACTACACACTACAAAAATTAAATAATTTTTATTCAAGGAAACAATTGATTTTATTTTAACTATTACATTACAATTTATTCCTTGAGGCCGTAAATTGTTAAAGACAACATTTTTTTTTACATTTTAAGTAATTGTTTATGAAATTATTATGGAAGAAGAAAAAATAATGTATGCAACTTGAATACCCATAAACCACTTTTCCTCATATGTGCCAAAAAGTTTTGCTTTATATTCTTGTTGCATACATTTTTAATTTCCACTCCCCCCTTTAAAACATATATTATCTTATGTTTTCATGACGCTTAATTAAATACACATTGCAAACTGTGACTTTATGGCGTTTTAGTCACGTGCTGAAGTTAGTTGTAGTTGTCAAATGTCAAACAATCGTCAAAATATAGCGACTAGAAAGTGAGGTTAGAAGTATAGTATGCAAATCGTTTTAAAAACTTCTCTGGACACTAGTTTATTAAACATTTGCTCATGCCTAGTTAATAATACTTGTTTATTATACTTTATATTATAACTTCAAAACCATATTAAATAATGTCGGACTTACTTAAAAATGTTCTTAATTAAATAAAAAAGCGGACTTACTTAAAAATGTTCTTAATTAAATAAAAAAGGTTTGTGTTTTTTGTACTATTTTTTATTATTTTTTCAATAGTTTATGAATTTGTTTATTTAATTTTTTTTCCTCAATGAATTTTTTAATTATTACATGGTCAAAGATTATTACCAATAACGAATAATCTAAAAAACTTTTGATTTTTAAATTGGACAAAAAATAAAATAAAAAATTTTAGACCCAACTGGGCAGAGCGAAATTCACGCTGGTCGACCCGCTCACCGGTCCAGGGAAGGGGGTGCACTTTTCCGACGTTGCCGGATTGCGCGAAGCCAAACAAGAAGTGAAAGAGTTCGTGGACTACCTCAAAAGACCGGAATTTTACAAGAGTCTGGGGGCTAAAGTGCCCAAAGGCGCTCTTCTATTGGGCCCCCCCGGTTGCGGCAAGACGCTGCTGGCGAAGGCGGTGGCCACTGAAGCGGCGGTGCCGTTTTTGTCCATGAACGGGTCGGAGTTTATCGAGATGATTGGCGGGCTTGGAGCCGCTAGAGTCAGGTAATATTTTCAATCCATTTTATTTATTTATTTCTGTATTTTTATGATTAGTTCACAGCAAATGGAAAAATATAGAACTGTATAGGATGACTCCGCGTTTGAATATTAAATCTTAAAGTTTTATCAAAACTGTATTGAATCGTGCTTTGTTTTTATATTTTTCGGCTCTATACCTATGCACGACTATATTTAAAGTCAAACTCAATGGTGTCTTACAAGATACATTGTTTTGATTTTCTATATTCAACAGAGAGGTAGAAACTCGACCCTGTCGAATGGTGCAGTCATTTATGTCTCTAGAAATTATTAAAAAAGGGTTCAGTCCAATGGTGCAGCAACTTCGGATTCCTATTCTCTTCCGAGACATAGAAACTCAAGCTTTTCGAATTTTACTGGCAATGATTTTCGTTAATGTCCCCGAGAATTATACAAAAACAGCGCAATGCAATATCGTAACGGTTTCGACTTCTCTTTACTCTACCAAGTTATAGAAACTGGAGTCTCTCTAATACTGTTCTAGTCAATATTTCTGAGAGTATAAAAAGAGGGTGCAATATTGCAAGAAGTTTTGATCTTTTGATGGATGCAAGTAGTTTGAATTTTCTCATTTCTGCATATGATTTTGTTGAAAATAGTTCCTTTCTTTGGTTCCTTTGTCTGATTTTTATTTACCGTAACAACTCAGGTATGTAAAGCACAGAGAATATGATGTTACTTAAGTATATTTATGTTTTATATAAAGTACCTATATTTGTATTAAAAATTTCAGAGGTTATGTTGAAAAAATGATCGATATGCTATTAAACTTTAATAATTTAGTAATGAGGTCTTTTGGTAGACCCTGCACTATCTCCACTGGTATATGTACAGCAATATTTAAATCTGGTTGATGAAAAAGTACACACCAGTGCAGGTTATTGTAGCATCTACGAACAAATGAATTAATGGCCCATTGGCAATTATTCCTTTAGGAAAAATATTCAACACTGCTTAATTAATTAATAAAATGAAAAAAATCACAATCATGTCGTATATAGTTTTTTTTAAGCATAAAATAATTTTTATATTAATACTAGTTCAAAAGTGAAATTACGACCTCTATACTGTGGAGAGCATTGAAACGCTCGACTGACGAATACAAATCTATACCGTGGGGAGATTTAGAAAACCATATTCAAACGTGGCGTCTTCCTATACACTTCTATAATTTTCCGTTTGCTGTGTGTCAAAATTTATAAATATTTTTTTAAAGAAAATTCCATTAATTTAAGGTATGTAATAAGTAATAATTGATATTTCGTAAACTAGATAACTTATTTTTTATTGTTTTTAAAAAAATGTTTGTTAAAACTTGTAAATAACACCATAAAATCGTAAACAAAAATCCAATATGGAGGCTAAAATTTAATCGCTGTTAAATAGTTCTAGTGATTTAATCGCTTATTTAAACGAAATTTATTCGAAAATTCAAGGCTTTTGATTGGTTCATATTATAATGAGGGAAATAATCAATTTTATTTATTTATTTCTGTATTTTTATGATTAGTTCTTTACCAATATTTTTTCCTTTAAGGGATTTATTTAAGGAGGCCCGAAAACGTGCTCCATGCATAATATATATTGATGAAATTGACGCGGTAGGTAGAAAACGTAGTGGCCAAATGGGCGGTAGTGAGGGAGCTAGTGGCGAAAGTGAACAAACTCTCAATCAACTTCTTGTCGAAATGGACGGCATGGCTAGCAAGGAAAGCATCATAATGTTAGCCTCAACCAACAGGGCAGACATTTTGGACAAAGTAAGTACATACATATCAATAAATACAAATTTCTCAATAAAATTCAAATTTAAAATGGATTCAAGGACAAATTTATTAAACCACCACGAAGTGCCCATAATACATTTTCTTCACTTTTACCATGAAAAACTGTTGAGTCCATTTTCAAGGGATGCATTTCGATTTACACATAAAAAATTGACATATTTACCACCACAGATTCCCAAGTTGGTTACACTATTTTTTTGTATAGATGTTGCTCTATACAAATATTTAATTTAATTTTTAGATAATAATAAGTATTTGTCGTCAAAATTAACGCATAACAAATGAAAAAAATCCAACTCTAAAACGCCTTTACCAATCTTTATAAAATTTTGTATAAAAATACTTCAACTTATATCTCAGTTTATGTGTTCAAGGGTTTTTCGAGAAAATATCCTGAAAGCCCTTTTATTTAAGAATAAAAAATGCTCAAAAGAAACTTTTATAGGGAAATTTATTTTTAAGTAAATAAAAATCTTGTCAAAGACCATATTTTTGTTAGTATACCCTGAATATTTTGTACAAATCAAACGAACAATAACGAAAATACAGCGCTTCAAAGTCGTCAAAAGTGACCACTTTTCAGCAAAATAATAAAAAAAGGGGTAATTTTTACCTACTTTGAAGCGCTGTATCTTCGTTAATGTATCGATTTGTACAAAATTTTCAGGGTATACTAACAAAAATACGGTCTTTAACAGCATATTTTTTATTTACCTAAAAAAAATTCCCTTAAAGTAATTTTTCGAACGTTTTTTTAATTAATAAAAAAGGGCTTTAAAAATATTTTCTCGAAAAACCCTCGAACATGTAAACTGAGATATTAGATGAAGTATTTTTATACAAATTTTCATAAAGATTGGTAAAGGCGTTTTAGAGTTAGAATTTTTTTACTTATTATGCGTTAATTTTGACGGGCAGTGTATTAAAATAAAGTCTGATTGAAATAAATAAAAATTCCACACCTAAAAACAAGAGTAGATGTAAAAATATTACATTATAATATGTCATAATGTTGAAAAAACATTTGTTGCAGCTCTTACCTAAATTCTATTCAAATCCAAGCTGGACTAAACAAAAACGCCCAGACGCGTGATAAATGTTTTTATTGGTCGATTCTGGTGGTGTGACTAGGGTTGTGAGTTCTTATTGGTCGATTCGGAGGATTGTGTTTACAATTAGACCAGCTTAGATTTGAATAGAATTTAGGTAAGATTATTTTTTTCCATATATTTATAACTATAGTTATGTTTGGTACCTATTTTTATATCTATGGACAATAGGCTCAAAATTTCGGCAAAACATAGACAAAGGGTTGGTTAGTTTTCTTTTTAGCACTTGTATACTTATTACAAAAACATTTTAAATGTGCTGCCGCTTTATAAAATTATAAAATTTATGATGCTATTATAATATACAAGGGAAACGCACAATAAAGCAAATTCTGTCAATAAATAACATCAATCTAAAAAAATTGAGTATTTTTTCATTATGAAATTTTGAGCAAAATGTATATTAATAATAAAATGAAATGAGGCGTATACTGCAAAAGCGGCCTTACTGAAAAAATCATTTTGTGGTTTTAAATATTCCTATTATCGAGTGAACTAGCCTAATAAAGTGTGTAAGAAGAGTAGTATATTAAAATACTTTATTAGGCTAGTTTACTCGATAAGCGCATAAAAGGATAATTTTAAGATAAAAAAACAAAATTATTTTTTTTAGTTAGGCCGCTTTTGTAGTATACGCTCCAAATTTAAAATATATTACATTTTCCATTATTGAAAATTTTGAGTAAGACTAAAAAATTTGATTTCTTATTATTTGGTAGTTTACACATAAGAAACCAATAACAATGTAAAAAAAACTTCTTGAAGTCTATTATAGGTAGTTACTTTTTTTTAAGACCAAATCAAAACAAACCCTGACGCCTTTGCCGCAGGTGGAGATGGCGCGTGACTGTATTTATATTTACTAAATGTCATTTAGTGGCTAAATTTTCTATGAACTGGACTGGAAACATAAAAAATAGGCAAATGAAACTAACCTTGAAAAAAAAACATAAAATATGAAGAAAAAAACCCTCTATTGTCCAGTTAAAAAAAAAATCATAAAAATGTATTCTTGTGCTTTCCAGTACTTATTTTTGTAAAGTACGTACCTAATTAAAGAATCAGAAGACTTAAAACAGTGGTGTTATCCTGCATTATCCTCTAACTCCCATTTTTTTAGGCCCTCTTGCGTCCAGGCAGGTTTGATCGCCACATCCTCATCGATTTCCCCGACTTGATCGAGCGCAAGCAAATCTTCGAGCAGCACTTGAAAGGCATCGCTTTGGAACACCAACCGGATCACTATTCGAAGCGCCTCGCGCATCTGACGCCCGGGTTCAGCGGCGCAGACATCGCCAACGTTTGCAACGAGTCGGCGCTGCACGCGGCCCGGCTGAAACAAAGCAAAGTCACCGGACAGAATTTGGAGTATGCTGTGGAAAGATTAGTTGGTGAGAAAAAATATCATATTTTTAAAGGTGCTCTGGATGGAGCTTTTTCAAATTTCCGTCAAGATTGATTGTCATGTTAGGAAAAATATTATTTTGTTATAACTTCCCACATAAAACATAAATATATTTAAAATATTGAATGAATAATTTTGCTAAATGAACTAAATATTTTAGAAATATTAGTCATTATCATTTAAATGCCTCTAAAATGTTTTTACAACATTTAGATATGGGGCATTTCACGTGAAGTGGAGAGCGAAAAAAAGTGACGTTCTGAAATTTGTTCCTAAATAGGTATACTTTATTTTAAAATAAAAAAAATTGGTTGAAGTTACTAAAATTCTCATTTGAAAAGTTTATTTTCGGTTTTGTATATTAAAAAAATATAAAAATCCACTTTTATTTTGTATTTAAAAAGAACATCTATTTAAGTCGCTATATTTTAAAATAAATTTGTTTAATTTGAAAAACTATTTCCAAAAAAATACGAATTTCAATAACGAAAATTCTTTGGGCAAAAACGCTGTCCACTTCACGTGAAATGCCCCACTTTTTATTTTTACATAATATTTTTTCACAACATTTTTAAAATATTTTTGCAATTGTTTTAGATAGATTACCTTATATTTTATAAATGTTTCCTCAACATCACAAACATCTTTGGAAATATTTTAAAAGTATTTAGTAAAATGAACTGTAAATACTATTTACAGTTCATTGAATATTTATTTTAACAAAGTTGTTGTAAATGTTGATAAAATGTTGCTTTTATATTTATAAAAGCCGTGTGACATCCGTTACTTTTTGTATACTGAATTTTCTTGTTTTGGAGTGCAAAAAGTTGATGTAGTAGAGACCATAGCTGGAGAACGCAAATTATTTTTTCGGTTCAATTTTTTTTCCAATATATTAATAGGCATGACCAAAGATAATACATTATTATCTTTGGGAATGACTAATAAATATAATAATCGTAAATATGAAACTTGTATAGTTTTTCAAAAAAAAAATTATTTTTGCCAATATAGAGTTTTGAAAAGAAAAATGTAAACACAGTAAAGTTAACCGTTAATTTATTAACCAATTTGTAACATTAAAAAGATTTTTGGAACACAAACAAAAATTTTCTAAAAGGCTAATTCTGGTGGTTTTTTGTCCCTTAAGTTTTTTGCCAAGCCGCACTTCAACTGGCTAAATGGATCTAAAAAAAGATTTTTGCTCTTTAACAGATTTTATAGCAAAGAGTATACATAAAGTGGATTTTGATTATTTTGTCGATTAGAGATTTTTGCAAATACACTGCCCGTCAAAATTAACGCATAATAAGTAAAAAAATTCTAACTCTAAAACGCCTTTACCAATCTTTATAAAATTTTGGATAAAAATACTTTAACATATATCTCAGTTTACGTTTTAAAGGGTTTTTCGAAAAAATATATTAAATATATTTAATATTAAAAAAACGCTTGAAAAAAAAAAATAATAATAATAATAAATAAAAAGTATGCCGTTAAAGACCGTATTTTTGTTAGTATACCCTGAACACTTTGTAAAAATTAAACGAACAGTAACGAAGATACAGCGCTTTACAGTCGGTAAAAATGACCACTTTTCAGAAAAATAATCAAAAAGGGTAATTATAATTTTTACCGACTTTGAAGCGCTGTATCTTCGTTAGTGTTCGTTTGATTTGTACAAAATTTTCAGGGTATACTAACAAAAATACGGTCTTTAACAGCATATTTTTTATTTACTTAAAAAAAATTCCCCATGAAATTTTTTTTTGGGCGTTTTTTTTAAATATTAAATAAAAGGGCTTTAAAAATATTTTCTCGAAAAACCCTCGAACACGTAAACTGAGATATAAGTTGAAGTATTCTTATACAAAATTTCATAAAGATTGATAAAGGCGTTTTAGAGTAAGAATTTTTACTTATTATGCGCAGTGTAATTGCCTTTTTGTAAATTTAGCTTCAGTCGGCCATTGCCGTAACTCCGGTAAAATGTCATTTTCCCTCGCATTTTCGGTTTTCGGAGGCAAAAAAGAATTTAATTTAAATTAAAGTCTTCTGTTCAATCCCGCTCGGGGAAAATACTTTTTTGTTTTTAAAAATTAAAAATCAATATTATTGTTGGTTTTCTAAGCAATTTTATTAGGTTTATAATATAATAATTTATTATTTTAACTTGCATTGAAACATACTCAACAAAGTAAAAATGGCCAAAGTGACGCTGATTTGTGGAAGACTTTAGCGGCCAAGCCTCAGACAACAGATGAGGCATGTCAGAGCAAAGTCAACAATCTCCCGTCAGACTAAAACTGAGTAAATTGAGATAATTGATTTTGGTATTTTAAATTCTAGATTTGTATTTTTTTTTGATATATTATATGGAAATATTGTTGTTGTTAGTCTAGTAGCCAACTACAAGGTCTCCAGGATGCATAGTATAGGTAGAATCTATAATTATAAATTGGAGATTGCTCATTTTGTTGTAAACGTTTAAGGAGATTTAGAAAAATAAACAAAAAAAATAATTTTATCCCTCTAATGGTTATAAAATTTAATGTGGGAAATGTGGGAAAATTCTGAACTGGACCACATGAATCTGGAGTTTCTTCTAAATCTGGGACCAGGTTGCCTTGTGCAAACATTTTTTTATAGTACAACAACTCATCATCTCCCAGTGGCGGCTCGTCAGGGTAGGCCTCTGAGGCCGCGCCTCACCCTTAAAATGAAGGATCGAACGACTTTTTGTATTTAGCTTTTTGCCTATTACAAGTGTATTTTTACAACAGTTCTACCCAATAAAAAGTAAAAAACCATGGTTGCATTCAATAATACTAAGCGTAAATAAAAATCCAGGCGCAAAGCGCGTCAAGTAAACGTGCATCGTCGAGAGAAGCCAGACAGAGGCGAAATTTTCACAGCCTCGGAAGCTCCCATTTACCTCTAGAAAGCGAAAATGACTCACCAACTAAAGTTCGCGAATAAACAACGTAAATTCAGTCCTAGATGAGGTGAAATAAAGTTAGCTTGGCTTGTTCTGATTTCTGGTTTTATCACATGATAATCGCGTGTCCGTCTATGGTGGGGAGGCCAGTGTTCTCTAAGCGATCGTAGAGCACGTTTTGTTTCGTTTTGTTTTGATTCAGATTAAATTATTTAAAACTTTTGGCTGATCTTTTATAGTTTTTGTCTCGATTAGTAAAATTTCTTATTTAATTTTTGTGGGGAACACACTAAGGTAGATTTAGCAGTTTTTATTAAGCAACAAGTTGTATTGAGTTTGGTTTTTAAAATTCCGGTAAGTTTTCTTTACTTAGTTAAATTTTCCAATTTTTTGTTTAAATTAATCCTGTTCATGACGTTATTCTCTCAATAATTGAAACGCCTTTTTTTTAAAGAAACGAAATATGCAAAATGCTTTCCAGACAACTTACTTAAGAGTTTATTAAAAAGTTATCCAAATATTTTTGACAAAGATAGGCTAAAAAATGAGCTTTCTGTATTATATAGAGATGAACAATTTTTAAATTTAAGTGTTGAAAAAAGTTTAGATATGTTGTTTAAAAATTTCAAGACAATTTTTGTGGAAGCATATAAGCTTTTTAATTTAGTTTTAACTATCCCTGCAAAAAGTGTATCTGCCGAACGAAACTTTTCATGTCTTAAACGAATTAAAACCTACCTTAGGAACACAATGACACAAGAACGGCTTTCAAGCTTAGCAACGATGTCAATAGAACAAGAATTATAATTCTATACTTTCAAATCTCAATGCAGACCCACAATTTTACGACCAAATAATAGATAAATTTGCGAACTCAAAAGATAGACGTATAGATTTAATTTACAAAAAGTAGCTATAGCTATATAGTATTTTATATTTTTTAATACTTAGGTAGGGGTCGACTTTTTAGTTTTAGTTTTATTTTTTGATTAATTTATTTATTTTTAACTTTTTTAAGAATATATTTTTAAGTTTTAAGATTAAAACTAGTCTTTGATGTGATATTTTGTTTGTTTTGTTTTTTAGAGTTTATTTTTTATTTATAATGGTTTAGTAGGGCTATCGGCGATGACCTCCATTTTAAAAAAGGTCAACGCGTCCCGGGTGGAAATTTATTCGTATTTAGACAAAATTAACCTTATGTAGCCTCACCCTCCTGTACACCCACTAGCCGCCACTGTCATCTCCTTCCCACTTTGCCCTGTAATGTTTTACTTGCAATGTTTTGACATTATCAGCCTTTTCTTGCTTTACCTTTTCGTCTTATTATGGTACAATAGCACAAAATAAACAAGATAACTTTTTTTTAATTCTTTAAACAATAAAACGTAGATTTACCTATTTTAAATATATTTTTTAAGTGCAATTTACTGCAATAGAACTTAACAGTATGTACCAGTAAAAAAACATAAAATCACTTAAATACGTTAAAAAAAAATGTTAGGATATCAGGTGACACAAATTACTAATTTCTAATGGTGGAATTGGAGATTGTATACTTTGCTGCAAATCTATTAGTGGAGATTGTCGACTTTGCACTAAATGTCATTTTTAAAATAGGATTTTAGTCAGGATTTAGCTCCTTTTGCGGCACATAAACTTAATCATCATAGATAATTAGTTGAAGTAGTCTCCGCCAAAAATCTAATTTTTGACCAAAAGTGGAGATTGTCGGTTTTGCTATGACAGGCCTCAGATAATAAGTTTATAAATATTTTTAAATAACTTAACAATATTTAGGAAACATTAATTACATAAAATTGCGAAATAAATATTTCCGTGATATTTATGAATGTTTCAGAAATATTTATGCGTAACGATTATAAAAATTATTTTCCCTGAATGTTCATACAATATTTCATCAACCTTTCATTTCTAAATATTGTTCTCCAAACGGCCTGACAACATTTTAAAAACATATTGTGTTATGTGGGATCCGTTACATGCTAAAATTTTACTTTTAAAGAAATAAAAGTGCAACTTTTTCGATTTGGTCCATTGAATAAATATATTCTTTTTTCCAAGGTGGCACCGAAAAGCGCAACCACGCGATGTCGCCGCAAGAAAAACGCGTGGTTGCCTACCACGAATCCGGCCACGCCTTGGTGGGCTGGATGCTGAAGCACACCGACGCCCTCTTAAAGGTGTCGATCGTACCGAGAACTAGCCTCGCTCTAGGGTTCGCCCAGTACATACCGCGCGACCAAAAACTGTACACCAAAGAGGAACTCTTCGATCGCATGTGCATGACGCTGGGGGGCCGCGTTGCCGAATCGCTGATTTTTAACAAGGTACAGTTCATTTTTTTAATTTAGACTCGTGTTTTTTTATTAAGTTGGTACCTATCTAATGCCAGTTTGATTTAGGTATTATTTTTAGGATTTAAAAAATTGTACTTCTGCTGAAGTAATATTTATTATTGATAATTCACTTGTTAATTATTATGTAATATCGATATAAAAAGATAACTATGCCAAAAATAATATCAGATTCTAAAGTAAAAGAACTTTTAAGGGCAAAACTTCATTTAGATGAAGTTATGCCAAATGCCTTAATGGCAGAAAAAGTACATTGCCTTATGGACTTTTTTGGACTAAAAAGTAACGTTTTTGGTTTTACAAATATTATATCACAAAATGTTTTCAGCTAAGAAGATTAAAAGTTTTTGAAATTTTAAACAAGGGGGAAATAAAAAAAAACCAAAAATAAAAATTATTTGCTGTTAGGGGCAACCTTTTTGTGAAAAATCTAGTAGTTAATTTTCCTCTCTTTGAAAATAGCATCCATTTGGTTTGAAAAAAATAAGCAATAATCACGAAACTTTTTTTGCTTTCAATTAGCAAGTTACTGATCATTAATAGTCCTGGACAACATATACATTATAATTATTATTAAGCCACTACAAGTATTAACGTTCAGTGGCTTTAACAAAATACCCATTCACCATTGGAGTCCAATGATTGGACAAAATTCACGTGTGTTCACATAAAATTTTAATTTCTTTTATATAAATTCTTTTCAAAGCGAAGATTATTATCCGCTAGGAATACTTTGTTCCTGCGCCGTGGTCACCTATATTTAACTACTTTTACTCATCTACGCACCACCAAAGCCAAATTAATTGCATTTTTAACTACGAATTTTGACAACTCATCTTAACTCCACTTGACAACCGTTCAATGTAGGTAACCTATAATAATTTAAACATTACCACAATTACAATTTCATAATAATTACATTTATAACTAGTTTAGTTTGTTTTAATCAATGCAACCAATTTTGGTTCCGTAGTTACCAACCAAAGCCCTAAATTTGCAACGTTACCGCAGTCCAGATAAAAAAATGTACATTATGTAAAGTTCATTTTTTTATCTGGACTGCGGCAACGTTGCAAATTTAGGGTTTTGGTTGGTAAATACAGTTGTCAAGTTGGTCGCATTGATTAAAACAAACTAAGCTACAAAAAATACAATATAAATAAAATATAAATCTAATTGTGGTTATGTATAAATTATTGTAGGTTACATTGTGCAGTTGTCAAGTTGAGTTGTCGAAATTCGTAGTTAAAATGCAATTAATTTGGCTTTCGTGGTGCTTGGATGAGTGAAATTATAATAAAAGTAGTTAAATATAGGTTGCTTACGGCCCAGAAGAGAAAGTATTCCTAGCGGATAATAATCTTCGCTTTGAAAAGAATTTATATAAAAGAAATTAAAATTTTTTGTGAACGTAAATGTTGTCCAATGGTAAATAATGTAAAATAATGTGTGATGTAATATTTATAAAACCAAATTCGTTACTTTTTTACTCCAAAAATGTCCATAAGGCGATGTACTTTTGGCATAATTTCATCAAAATGAAGTTTTGCCCCCAAAAGGGCTTTTACATTCGAATTCGTTGCTATTATTTTTGGCATAATTATCTTTTCATTTATAATTGACAAGTAAATTATCAATAATAAATATTATTGTCAATTTGACAGTGCCAAAGTATTTAATTAAATTCTTTAGCAGAAGTACCATTTTTAAATACTAAAAATAAAAAGTCAAACTGCCATAAGCCACCAACACAACAAAAAAACACCAGTCCAGATTAAAAAAATGAACTGTAGGTAATTTTATCAAAGACGTGTTTATTTAAACTTTTTAAACAGGTGACAACTGGTGCGCAGAATGACTTGGAAAAAGTGACAAAGATGGCGTATGCGCAGGTCAAGGAGTACGGGATGAGTACAATTGTTGGGTTGGTTTGTTTTCCTGAACAGCAGGAAAAAGAGTTGGGAAGAAAACCATACAGCAAACAATTTGCCAGTATTATAGATACAGAGGCTAGGAATCTTATTATGCAGGCTTACAAACACACCGAAACTGTCCTGTTGAAGCATAAGACGCAGTTGGAACTGGTAAGAATAATAGTTTTATTGTGCTCTGGCCAGATTTAGTTTTTATTTTGAAAATTTTTTAACAACTAAAAAAACCATATCAAGATTAGAAAATAAAAAATTACTTGCCCGAAAAACTTTGATTTTTCATAAAAATTAAAAAAAAAAGTTATGGAAAATTGATAGTCCTTTATACTATAAAGTTTATAGTATTTCAAATATTTTTTTGGAATTATTTTAATAAAAATGCGTTTCTGTAAAAAAAATAAGTAAGAAGGCAAAGATATAAATAAATGAAAACGGTATGAACACTAATATAGCAATAAAATAAATAAAGAATATACAAGGTTGGTAGCCGGAGTAAGCAAATAACTAACATAACCACCCCCATTCACGAATACCAATTGAATGGGGATACTACTAAGGCCTAGGTTGAGGAGGATTCCGGATTGTACTTAGTTTTGGGTCAGTTCAATGTCCTCCAAAAACCCTTCCTAAACTGGACGTATGGCCCGACCCGGCTGACAAAAATCCCGGGAGCTGCCTTAACCTTTGACACTGTCATCCACGAACTCCTAGGGTGGATCTACCAGCCGGTGTAAAAACTTCGGATCCAACAAACACAGGTAATGCTGTGATTTGGCGGGATACGCAGGAGAACGGAAAGGGGGTAATATAACCCCGGGAGATCAGTGGATGATAATATATCTGGGGCTTGCCATACGTTCCCATACTCATACTCATACTCAAAAATGCGTTTCTGTAAATCCCCGAAAAAATCAATTTAGTTATTTAATCTAAAATAACAATACTGCCTTATTTTGTAAATGTATTTATATCAGGTGAATTTTTTAAAGTGTGAAAAGGGGATATTTCGAAAACGGTTTAAAGTTAATAGAGAGGTGGGGGGACATATTTAAACATATTTTTACATCTACCCCTTTTCGTATTTTAAGGGGCGTGGGGTAACTTTGTATTTTTAATAGGGGTGATGTACTTTTTTTTAAAATTGGAATCTATGTAAACGACTTGGTAGTATCGCTAAAGAAGTATCGCTAGTAGCGCCAGCAGTCGGCTGTTATCATCGTAACAAAAGTACAACTTTTGATAATCAGCTGTCCAACGCATACGTTACAAACAAATGTTTTTGAGAGTAAACCCGGAAAATGTTAAAAAATATGGAAAAAGAACCGTGGCCTGATTTGTTGTGTTGTTGGGCGTATTTCGAGAGGAAATCCTGGTTTGAGTTTTTATGGGTTTTCCAATAAACAGTGTTAATCCGAACGAAGAAATAAATTTCATAGAGTCCCTTTAAATATAAATTGTATCTATTAGATTTAATAAATACACATTTTAGTAATGATTAACGTAAAAAGTTTAAACATTTCAATTCAGTAAAAATCGTCAAGCAAATAAGTCGTCTAATTTCAAACAGCTTTTAGCATTATTAAAAGCGTTGATTAAAAATTCTTTAGTCTCAACTCAACTAAATACCATTATATATTATATATAATATTATGTTGCCATGAATTCTTAGGTATATTTTGTTGTTTAAAATGCAGTTGTCGACGTTTTTAGTGAACCTAAATATAAAAATTGTTGATTTTAAGGTTATGTTTGTGCAAAAATTATTTTTTTAATAATTTCTTAAAAATCTCCAAACTTAAATATAAATTATATTAGGTAAAGTTATCATTAGTTAATTCTGCACCAACAAATGTAATTACCGAATTGGATCCTTTGGCAAAACAAGAAAATGCAACGATTTAGTTATAAATAAAAACACAATAATTCACCATGATCCCTTAGATAAAATACACACACTAACGTAACTATATAAGCATTTAAGCGTTGAGTTTCTTAATCAATGATATAAAGAATAATCAATCGAAATCGAGTACTAAACCAGTTTTTTAGTTTTTTCCTTGCAACGTAAAACACAAATAACGTGCGCGATTTAGCTGTGCAATTGCACAAAATTTGTCGAGTAAGACTTCTGCCTTCCTCTCTTTTGTGAAAAAACTACCTATTTATTTAAAAATTATGTGCAGTTCGTATGCTTTAAATGTATTGTTGACAATTCTTAAATTCACGCAATGCTTTTGAAGTCCACCAGATGGCGCGCGCGTTGCGAAAACCCGATGCTTTAGCGTATGCGTGCAAAAAAATTGTTTTGCACTTTCGCTTACGGAATTTTGATGTATTAAATTATAAGATACCTACTAAAAAATAATTTTAATTTATTTATCAAGTGTACAAAATTCATTTAGAAAAAGAGTGAGAAAGTGGTTGGAAGTTAAAGGTGGCTATTTTGAAGAATTTCTCAGACATGAGAGAAATTAGTTGAAACTTAATTGTTAATATTTTTTATTAACTCATAATCTTATAAATCATAAAAGCGCAAAATAAAAAAAAAAGTTAATCATCCCTATTAAAAATCCAAAGTCATCCCCTGCCCCTCAAAATAGGGAAAGAGGGTGGGTGTCAAAAATATGTTTAAATATGTCCCACTTCATCTCTGTTATTTTACCAAAATTTCACAAAAAATGTTTAAACCGTTTTTTAATTATCCCCTTTTAACACTTTAAAATATTCACCTGGTATAAATACATACATAATTAGGCAGTATTGTTATTTCATATTAAATAACTAAATTGATTTTTTCGGGGATTTACAGAAATGCATTTTTATTAAAATAATTCGTAAAAAATATTTAAAATAATAAAATAACACTTTCAAAAACCCACCCGGTATATTGTTTATATCAGGTTTCCGGTTTTCATATAATATTTTTTTTATTTTTCTCTCCTTTTTCAATATTTCCAAAGGTTCAGAAAGAAAACAAAAAAAAACGGTTTTCGATTTCTTCCCGTTTTTTTTCGAACTCAACATAAATAAAATTAATTGATGCATTTGATTTATAAATGATTTTTTTAGTTGGCAGAAACTCTTTTGAAAAAAGAAACCCTTAATTACGATGACGTGGAAAAACTGTTGGGTCCTCCACCGCACGGTGGAAAAAAATTAATTGATCCTGCGGAATTCGAAGAAAACTTAAGAAAAGACGTAGGAGATGAAAGAAAAAATGCCACTGCAGAAGCAACCCAAACTCAAACTAAAGTGTAGAATTTTTATGTTATTGTTGATTAATAAATGAGATTTTTGTAGTTTTTATTATTAGTTCAATGCAATTTCAATGTCATTCCCTAAATTTTACGTTCATTCTCTTCTTCTTCTTCTTCTTCTTCTTCTTAATTCTGAACACATTCTGTGTTCAGAGGAATGACCTTTAGCTTAATTTAAAAGCTATTTGGCCAGCACATTATATTATTAAATTTTCTTTATTATGATCAAGGGTCTTATTTAAAAGAATCTGAGATTAACTCATCCCTTGAATCATTTATATATTGTTAATTATTTATAAAATTTTATAGAACCATGTCATCTTTTCGCTTCACTATGTACACATGGCTTCATACACAGAATTTTCCAATTATCTTTAATCTTCAATCATCCGATCCATCTCTTAAGTATTTTCATATATTTTTGCAAATTCTTGGTTAAAACCAGTTTGTTTTTACACTGGGAGTCCGATTTTGCCTCTCCTGGGTCGAGAAGTCACTTATTTTTCAAATACTCTTTCATAGAGCAACCGACAGACACGAGAACCAAAACCGAACTGTACGTTCATTCTCGTAGATCTCTTAATTTGATGTTTACCATAACCTCAAAATTTTAAATCTCGAACTTTGACATTTATTTTTAAGGTTAGTCTTCTACTTTTTTTATAAAATGTCAAATTTGACGTTAACCTCGAAATTCAAATGTCAAAGTGACATAGCGTTTTACGCTGTGTCTAGTCTCACGCTAGCGTGAACGCAATTTTATTCTTATTCTCACGCTAACGTGAACGCAATTTAATAGAGTAATTGCATCAAAAATGAAAATCCCTAAAAACCTTTTTATTGTAATCTAGAGGTAAAAACACATTGCGAAAATATTTTTTTATATTCCAAAAGTTCAACCCGGCCCCAAAATATCAAATTGAAAAAAAGGTACTTTTCAAACGTTCCGAACTCCCGCCATATTGCATGACGTCATAAGCTTCACCAGCTGTCAGAAATCAAGATGTCAACAAATAATAAACACCGATAAAGTTTATGTTTAACATGGAAAACGCGAAACCAAAAATTGGTTGTAAATATTGTTTTGTGCCTTGTACAAATACAACCTGGAAAACTCCTGGGAAAAGGTTTATCACCGTGCCAAAAGGGAAAATAAGGATAAAAAGGATTAAAATAGCTCGGCGCGATATCAAAACATCGTCACCATTTTATTGCTCATTTTAAGGATCATTTTAATGTAAGTAAAATAAAATGTCGTTTACTAGGTATATGCCCAGGTAGCAAAGGATGTTAAGTGACAAGTAATTAACATCAATATTTGGTGAATTTTTATAAAAATATTAACATCATTAATTCTTGTGAATTTAACATGAATATCATGTCATCCCTTTTTAAAAACGTGATTTTCATGTTTTATTTTTAACATTTAAATATCATCACGAATTTCACAAAAAAATAACATCCACATTTGGTAAATTTTTGACAAAATATTAACATCATTAATTCTTGTGAAATTAACATGAATAACATGTCATCCTTTTTTTAAACGTGATTTTCATGTTTTATTTTTGACATTTATATAACATCATGTATTTAATAAAAAATCAACATCCATATTTAGTGAATGTTTGACTAAATATTAACGTCACTCATCCTTGTGAAATAAACATGAATTTCATGTCACGTTTTTCATTATTGCGTTTTTATAAAGTAAATTTTGTTTTGTTTTTATACCCCGTTGCTTTTAAAAATAAAATTATATATTTTTTCTATGTAAAGGTTTGTTTTTACTTATTTTTTTGTAAAGTACTATAATTTCTTTGAAAGTACGATAATTTTATGGGGTTGGTACGATAAATCATGAAAACTGCAGTTTTCAAAACTTGGCAGCACTGACTATAGGACGCTAACCTGTTCTTTGTATTTTGTTATCTATGGTATTTTATGTGGGAAAATTAACAAAACGTGCAGTTTGTTAAATATTAAACCACATACTTGTGATTTACCTTTATAATCTGTGATTTACACCTGTGTATTTTGACTTTTTGTGCTGCAGCATCATGTCCAAAACAGTAAGTATTCAATTATTTTCTACAATGCCGGGTTTATACAACTGCATAATCATTAATCATGTTCTTGTAACCTAACTTTATTTTATTTTTTGTATTCTTTCCAACTACATATACTATGTATATACCTTAGAACAAGGTATATACTATACTGCCGTGCTTAATGAAAACGCCGTAACCAACAATTTTGCGATTTTTGTTTTACGGCATTTTCTACTAGAACAATTCATCCTGTGTCTATCCCCGGTACTCAAAAAACCGTATATATATAGATACGGTTTTTTGAGTACCGGGGATAAACGCAGGATGAATTGTTCTAGTGGAAAATGCTGTAAAACAAAAATCGCAAAATTGTTGGTTACGGCGTTTTCATTAAGCACGGCAGTATACGAAAAACTAAAAACTAATAGTATTTTACCCCTTATCTCAGTACTTTTCTTTTAAAGTATTTTAATTAAAATCTTAAGATTCTTAAGAAAAGTGATTGAATTAATTTTGTATCATGTACCTAAATGCAATAGAAAAATTATTATCTTGTTATTTTATTTCTTTTGTTTTAGAATCAGCATTAGTTAGCAATCGTTCAACTGCAAAAGAAGTTGAAACGGTTATAATGGATTGGTTCCGGTATGCTAACCAGCGTATGAAAAAAAAATAAAATTGTAGGTATATTTTTTATTTATTTATTTTATTTATAGAAATAACTAATTTTGTTTTTTTTAGGATCCAGCTGTAAAATCCTTTTAGTTTGTGTTTTTAAAATGTTAACAAATTATTTTATGTTGATTTTAAATGTTATATTTTAAAATAATATAAATTATTTTAACAAATATTATGATTTTCATTATTCATCATAAACACCATGCATGCATGTATTTATGGGACTAACAACTTTATATTGATGTCATTTGTTATGGTTATATATCCTGAAACTCTTAAATTCCATTTTTTATTATTAGTGTTTACTGATTGTGGTTAGTAATTATTAATATACTTTAGAACTTTTTATTGAGAAGTTTTTTTGTGGTTAGCTTTTATTCACAAACAATCTTGTTAATGAAGAGTTACAAAGTATATTAATAATTACTAACCACAATAAATGATGTCGTTGCGGGAAAGAGTTCTGGGGTATAATAATGACATCAATATGATGTTAATGGACAAGTTAGTATAACATCAAATTCACGTTGTTTTAGTATGTTATTTTTATGATATTATTTAACATCAGAATCATGTTATTTTTCAAATGTTATTGATGATGACATCAATATGATGTTAATAGACAAGTTAATTTAACATCAAATTCACGTTGTTTTAGTATGTTATTTTTATGATGTTATTTAACATTAGAATCACGTTATTTTTCTAATGTTAATGATGATGACATCGATATGATGTTAGAGACAAGTTAATATAACATCAAATTCGCGTTATTTTTCGGATGTTATTTTATGATGTTATTTAGGTAGGACATAGGACTTCTTTATGACGTGAAATCCACGTTATTTTAACTAGAATGATAACATCACATGTGAAAAAAGAACATCATATTCACGTGTAAAGGATGTTATTTTGCTCCCTGGGTGCATATACCATGGTTTGAATAGGTATGTTAAATATTAATAAATTCAAGAAAATACGGCTGAGCCGTAACTACTCTCAGTGTAGGGTCATAAACTTTGCTTTTGATAATTGAAGGGACAACTTTCCCAGGAGTTTTCCAGGTTGTATTTGTACAACAAGGCACAAAACAATATTTACAACCAATTTTTGGTTTCGCGTTTTCCATGTTAAACATAAACTTTATCGGTGTTTATTATTTGTTGACATCTTGATTTCTGACAGCTGGTGAAGCTTATGACGTCATGCAATATGGCGGGAGTTCGGAACGTTTGAAAAGTACCTTTTTTTCAATTTGATATTTTGGGGCCGGGTTGAACTTTTGGAATATAAAAAAATATTTTTGCAATGTGTTTTTACCTCTAGATTACATTAAAAAGGTTTTTAGGGATTTTCATTTTTGATGCAATTACTCTATTTTTATTCTCACGCTAAAGTCAAAATAATTTTAATTTTATTCTCAAGCATTATTTTATTTAATTTTACTTTTTAGGTGTCGTGTCATTTGATTTGATTATTATTTGATTATGTCATTTGATTAAATTTGATAATGCAAATGTAACAAAATTTACCAATAATAAAATCGAGACTCTTTTACTGCAGCCAAACCAACCCAAACTCAACAACACAACCCAACCGACCCCGCCCCATTGCCCCCCCCCCTCGCCCCATTGAGCAAAAAACCCAACTAAAATGGGCAAAGTTATGTTACGATAAAAATAAAACACTTTAACAAAGGAACAACAAATTTATGAAATAAAAAAAGTTCGACAACTTCTGGTAGATTTTATGTTACGATAAAACTAAAACAAAAATAACCAACCCAACCCAACCGAACACTGTTTAACAAAGAAACAACAAATTTATGAAATAAAAAAATAAAAAAAGTTCTTGGAATCGAACCCGGGACCTCTCGCATGCCAAGCGCCCGCCCTACCATCGGAGCCATCCAGCTTGTCAAATTTTAAAAACTCTGGGAACAAAAACGGATTATAATTAGTGACGTCACCGCGTGAGAATAAGAATAAAATTGCGTTCACGCTAGCGTGAGACTAGACACAGCGTTATTTTTATGGTAATTTTTCTTCTTAATCTTCAAATCCCGTACGGGGATCTTTAAACAGTACAACGGTTTTTGTATTATTCATCTTTTACGGGAGGAAGGAACGCAATCTATAAATCAATCTTTAGCTGTAAATACGAAAAATAAAAGTACGGTACAGTAGAAACCGTCAATATATGAACGTGACTCATCAGACACATTCGTACGAAGCAATCTATCGAAGGTCACGGTCCAGTGCAGTCTCGTTTGTAAAAAAAATTGAGTGTAATGTTGGTTGCTATACTTATGATATATTTGCTTTTAAAGTTAAATAATTAACATCTAACATAATTAACATCTACGATAATTAAATAAAATGTAATTTTCTTAGAAACTAATTAATAAATAAACTTTTCTTTTAACTTTAATGAAATATTCTATCATCTGATTACAGAACGTAAACTCGTGGCGACATCTCTGATTTTAATAACAAATTTTTAGACCGACCCAACCTCACTTTCTTCCAATTAAATTCTTAGTATAGTCTGAAACACGTTTGGAATTGCATATTCCCCTCTCGTGAAACCGTCAAACTTGTTACAGAATATACTATTCTTTTAACTGTAAACGCAAATATTTCAGAATTGGTGACAAAAAACAAAAATGTTTACGCAGGTCAGGTACAAAGTGAAAGATATTTAAATTGTGTGGATATAAAAACAACTTGCGTTAGTTTCACGAAATTTATTAAATATTGACAATTGTTTCGCTACACAGTAGCTTCTTCAGAATGTATTAAACTAATACTAGTACAAAATTTATATGTATAATAAAAATATTTTTGTATTCAGGCCTAGAATTTCTAGGTAAGGATTTTTATACGACATCTACCTGTGTTACATAATATAAACCACTGCCACTACAACGTTTAAAACGATTATTAATCCGTAAACACACAGTAAAAACAAGATATGCAAAAACAAAGATCATATGACATATAAAAACAAATGGCCGACGGTAAAGTTGGTTGCCTTACTATGTAATAAAATAAAATAAATTCCTAAAACACGAACTCTACTGACTTCCAATAAAATTAAGTAACAAGCTAGGACACAAGCGTCATATGTCCATCTTTGTCCAACACCTAGGCAGTTTTACATCACAGATGGCGCATTTTAGACCGGATGCTTAAAAACCTACGTGTGAGTACATTTACCGCTGCATCGAATGTACAAGACAAGTAAAACATTACTGCTAGCATGTCTGAGATATGTTCGGCACCCGATGAGTCACGTTCATATATTGACGGTTTTTTTGTATATTGGCAAACCTGTCTTTTCATAACGTGGTTTTAGGTTATGTTTATACATGAGAGGTTAGAAATGTGTTAAAAAACTTGTTTATATCCCAAAAATTAATATATATAAGCCTAAAAATGCCGCTACCGGGAAGTCAGCTGGAAGAGACGTTTACATCGACCGATGAAGATGTAAAATCGATCCTCAACAGTATAATCAAGTCAAATTTGAACGATGAAGTAAACAGAAAGTTGATTATAAGCAATATTAACAAACTTTTATGTAATTCTACTAGTAGACACCACGGTTTGGAGTTATTGCGTGTTGTTTTACCCGCGTGTCCCCAATATTCGTCGGAATATTCGTTAAAATGGGTCAGTATGTGCCTCATACAGCAACCCTTCGATATGCATAAAGAAGAGAAATTATTTACATTGGGTAAGCACAGGTTTAATTTTTATTATTTGGGTAAATTTACTAAATTATATTTGTAGCTGAAATCATAAAGTATGCCCCTAAGGACCAAGAATTCAATAAAAAGTTTGTTGGGGAATTATTACCAAAAATCATTGACTCTTGCATTTTGCATACATTAAATAATGTATATGAAGTTGAGGCAGCTTTAACCTGCCTAATTGAATGCATGGATTCCTACTCCAGCTCAATTCTACCATACAAAAACAAAATAGAAGTATTTATGTTGAAAATATTGGATTCCGATTGTCAATACACAGTAGAAAAAGCAGCACATTCGTTCTTACTACTTCAACAAGTGGGGGGTGCAGGTGTAGATGGCATAAATCACATAATGAATTTTTCTGTGCATTTACGAAAATTGTGTGCAACCATACATGGTTTATATGATTTGTTTTTCGAGAATGTTACTGAGATTGAGAATATTCAGGCTGTTGAAGAAATTGCTTTTATTTTTGACGATGTGGCCCATAATACACAGAAAATGATGCATGTTATTGCAAGGAGGTTGAATAATTGTCTTATTTATCTTATGACAATGATTCAGTAAGTATATTCTATAAATTAAGAAAATGGTTTTAACCGTTTTTTTTAGGGATAGATTCTCTGTTGTAAAAGAAACTAGACCCAAAGAATTATTGGATGTAATACTAAGAGGTTTGTCTGTGCATTTTTGTGTCTCAAAGTCTGAGGTGCCGATTAATACTTACCATTTAAATGTATTGTTAAATAGTATACAGATTCAACTTTTGGATATGCTGAGAATTTGTATTGATTGGTGAGATAAAAAAATGCAATGAAGTTTTTTTATTATTATTATTATTATTGTAATTTTAGGTATCAAACTCATTTGCTGCCCTTTACTGTAACAATTTCCAAGTTGATTGTAGATGCTCTTAATAGGATTCAGAGTTGTGATTGTTACACTGTGTAAGTGAATGTGAAATTTATATTTAATATTTCAGTAATGTTGTTATTTTTTAGGGCATATAAAGAATCAGTGTATAAAGCTCTTACAACTTGGCTTGAAGTATCAAAATGCTCAATAACCGAGACATATTTAAACCAGATAATTCAATGTATTTTAAATGATATTCAGCCGGCTAAAACACAAGTTAAACTAACTGTAAGTTAAATGTATTTTTGTAAAAATATATTTGTATTATATTTTTTTTAGATGAACACTCCAGGTTTGTCAGCAAAGGCCAAAGCTAAAGCAGTTAATGAGAAAATTATTGCCAGTGGAGAAAAGTCGAAAAATCAGTAAGTCAGTAATATTTATGTCATTAGGTTAAGAAGTAAGGCTTTTTGTGCTAAGCTCAAGGTTTGAAGGCCGACGCGTAGCGGAGGCCTACAATTGAGCGAAGCACAAAAAGGCACATCTTGGCTGAATGGCATACAACATTTTATCTTCAAAGCACTTTATATAGGTCAATTTAATTCAACATCAAAGCGGCCTAACTTTACTTTTTTAGAATCTCATTTATTTATTAGCTAAAGATTACATTAAATGTACAATAATTATTATTGCTTTTAGAAGCAGTAATAGTTTGACAATACGTAGCTACATGATTTAAGTAGAAATTAATTTTTGCTATTACATTAAATTCAATTAATTGTTTAATAAATAGATAGGTATCTAATTTCAATTTGTTTGGATTTTTATTTAAAAAATAGGTAGTTTGGAATGTTTAAGCTGTGTTTAACATTTAATTTCACTGAAAACTTAAAGCAAATTAAAACTTAAAGATAATTTAAATCGTAGAAAAAGAATCGTGCGTTTTCTTGGTTGCCTAACCTCACTTTTTGTGTTATTATTCATATTTAATTTTACAATAATTTAATAAAAAATATTAAAAATTTACAGTAAAACAAACAAATTAGTGCTTTTTATAAATAAATTAAACCAGTTTAGTACGTTAATTTCTTAAAAAAGGATTAATTTGTCAAAACAATACCCCTAGCGAGAAAAAATCGAACTAATTACTTGCTTCATAAAATTTTTTATCGGCCTAGGCCATAAAAAGGTATTTCTTTATCGAATGTTGACAACATTAAAGTTTAAATTATAGACCGCGTGGAGATAAAAATAATTTAATGTATACCAACTTTCCATTATAAAATATTTCTCTTTAAAAAGATATGGGGGTTTAATATGATAATTTGTTTTTAGGTTGTTAACCACTGAAGAGATAGAAACTTCAGAAAATACCTGCAAACTTGCACTGAACGCCTTAAAATATGTTTTTAAAAGCTCAGCAGTCAATATTAAAGAAAATCATTTACACGTAAATATATTATATTATATTATAGTATATTAATTTTGCTCATTTTTGTACATTTTAATTATTTTCACAGAAAATCTACTCTACCATTTACAAATCTTTGCTAAACATCCAATCAAACAAAATAGTCCACCCATACCAAAACAGTGTCTGTCAAATTATGCTGTATAAGGCGATTGTCTCTTTTTATGAACATGAAACAATGGCAGCATTGCCTCCCATACATCTCACCATTGAACTTTTAAGCAGGGGTGCAAATGCCCAAAACAGGTAGTAAAAAATATTTTTTTTTATAAAAATAAAAATTATTATAAAAAAATCTTTTTGCTTAGGTTTATTGCAAGAATATGCGAAAAAGGCCTAAACACACTGGAAAAAATTTGTCAACCAGTATGCCCCTCACTCTACCTACAAATACCAACACAAAAAAGTCAAAACGGGGAAATACGAAAATCCCCGGATAGGGAAATCACAGAAATGGAGGAAGATAGGAATGGTTTTGTGAATGATATTGAAAATGAAGTTTCTCCAGATATCCCCAAAAATGATGAAAGTGACTTGAAAATTGTTATACTTAGTAACGAGGTTATACAGCCACCTTTACCTATTCTTGTTGGATCACAAGAGGTAAGTTTAAAAAAAATGAAACAATCGTCACCTGAGAATTATAGTGTTCTATCTGCATTTTTTTTTATTTAAGTTTGTTTTTTTTTATATATATAACCCAACCCAATGGGCTTTGTGGGGTTTTTTGACATTGTTTTAATTTTTTTTGTTAATTCTATAAAGATTTTATTAAAAAAAACATTTAAAATGAAATACTGTTGATAAGAAAAAATCATGTATTTTCACAGTGAAATTGAAAATGTACAATATTGAAAGAGCGGCCATTTCAAGCGAGCGAAACTCACGAATTACAAAACTGTTTTTATAAAAAAAATTGTAGATAATTTATTATATTTTGGCATCAAAATTGTCAAAAATATGTCTTCTTTTATTAGGCTACACATTAAATTTAAAAAACGCAAAAAATATTTAATAAAAGTAGAGATAATTTAATAAAATGTATCTTGCGTTTTTTTAATTTAATGTATATCCTAATAAAATAATATATTTGACAATTTTGATGCAAAAATAATATACAAGGTGTCCCTAAACTTATTGGCATAAATTTAGGAAAAGATTGAGCAAGTCAAAATAAGACGAAAACCCAAATAAATATTTTTTTCTACTCCTATTATGGAATATGACCGTTCTAATATCACTTTTATCTATGGAATGACATTTATTCCGTAAACTGTTACAGAATGAAATATTCTATCTTCTGATGACAGAATATACACTCGTGGCGACATCTCTATTTTTAATATCCAACAAATTTTAGACCGATCCAACCTCACTTTCTTCCAATTAAATTATTTGTCTATGGTATTTTTTGGAAACGTAAAAAAGTATAGTCTGAAACACGTTTGGAATTGCGTATTCCGCTCTTGTGAAACCGTCAAACTCGCCTTCACTCGAGCGAAATATGCTGTATTCCAAACTTGTTACAGAATATACTATTACATACACGGTGATAAAGTATTACTTATCATATCAATTTTTTTAATATAACCTCTACTATGGTAGTCTTGGAAAGGTGACATTTTGCGAACAGTTACTTACTACCAAAACACATATTCACACATAATTATTAGGGTGTGTCATTTTTAAGCAACTTTTTTTTTTAACTAAAAAACAGGCTAAAAACTTTCAAGAAGTTGAAAAAAGAAACCTCTAAAAATTTGAGCTCTTAATATTAACATTAAGTGGTGCCTGTTCCTAACTTTCCATTTTCCATTTAAATAACATGGAAATTTTTTTTTATTTTTGTAGCTTGACATTTGAGCATTGTAAAAACGATCTGAAAAATTATTTTGGTAGGAAATTGAACGCTCTACAAAAAAGTTTCAATATATTTTTTCATAGAGTAAGCCGTTCTGTAGGTATTCAAACTTAAAGTTGCCTTTAACATTTCGAATCGCGGCACGTTAGCGTGCCTCCAGTCACTGTGTAATCCGAAAGGTAATACCGACTGAACCGATATAATCAGAGTTATCGACTTTAAAATTATAAAAAATAAAGAAAGATTAAAAATTCAATACAATAACAAATTCAATGTTTTATTTAATCTCTTATAATTATTGAACAAATTTATTGAACACAAATAACTTCTTTTGATAGTAAATAAAATAAAATGAAAAAAAAAATTGGGATGTACCTAAGTGTTATTTTCTTTCTATACGAAAAGACAGGCCTCTCACGCAAGGTCAAATTGAGGAGCATCCGTGCAAAACCGGCTATATCCACTTTAGTAAAATGTTGGGAAAATGGCAAAAACTGTCGGTTTCCTGGCCTTTACAGATAAAAGAAAAAGCAAACTTGAGTTTTGTGGGCTCTGTGGTACTTGATTTATAAAAAAAAGCGAATAAAAAACGAATAAAATGTGAAAAAAACCTTTATTATTCAAAAATATTAACAAAATAAATTTAGTGCAAACATGAAAAAACAGAACAAATTTTAGTACCTAGTAGTATCGACATATCCAAGCTACATGCTCATCATCATTATTATTTATTGGATATAGCCGGGTTTGCTATAAAAACGTTGATTTGGCCGGTTTTGCTCCTAAAGCTACCTTTTAAATGTGATTTTAACATGGTTATAGTCGGATTTTAACAGAATTATCTTGGTTGTCGATAGAAATGAACCCAAAGATGAGAAATAAAAAAAAAAACAAAAACTAAATTAAATGGATTTAGCCGGTTTTGCACGGATGCTCCTCAATTATGGTTTGACTGGATTATATGTCTGGAAATTCTTAAATATTATTTAAGAAGGTCAAAGCCTATTTTAAAATGTTAAAATTCAAACACAATCTTAGAATGTAAGACATTAAAAACTTTTCAGAGTTTGAGAAATGATTCAGAAAAATCCCATTACACTGATTGCATTAGCCCAGTTGTTGAACTGAGTGATGAAGAAAACGAAGTGCAGATTATTGAAGATTCTCCTTGTGAAACTCCAGTTCCAGCTTCACCAGTTAAAACAACTGAAATATCCCAAGAAACAGATGAACCACCCTCAAAAAAATCCAAATCCGAGCCACCTGAAGACATTGAGGTTATGGATGACAATTTTGTTGATATTGTAGCGGAATATTAAATAAATAAAATACCTTTTAAAAAAATACTGTTTAATAAAAAAAATAGCTTCACTGCTAATACAATCTGTTATAATACAAAATAAATATCCGTACAGAGTAAAATTGTTCATTATTTACATCACAATGTTTTTAATACTTTTAAAATGTGCGCCCTAAAATACTTTTTTACATATCGACTTCTTATTGGCACTGCAGTCGAAGGCGGAAGTGAATTCAGGAAGTTGAGACCATATTAAGTGCAATCTAAAAATAACAATTTATTAATATGTTTTGTTACGTTGTTTGTAAAAAACACTTACAAAGTTTTTTGTGAGAGTCCAAAATTAACAATATTTTCATAGAATTGCCGTTGATTTGTGGTTTCAGAACACTCAGTCTGCGAGTATGACAAGAAAAATAAGGCCGAATCCTCAAATTCCTCCAAAGCCGGTTGATGTATATGATCTACATATTCAAGAGACCCCAACAAAGCCTAAAACAACATTTTAACTTAAACTAAGCAGGCTTGGCCCAACCGAGCATTCCAATTGGTTGAAAATTATAATCCCTCTTACCTCATTGGCCACAGATACGGCTGTCATCTGCTTGAGCATTTTTAACGCCGTTTCATTGGCTAGAGATGCCGGCACCGCCAAATTTAAGCCCAAAATGTATTTACCAAGGCAATCGGTGGATTTTTCTGCCGATTCCAAGGATTCTTTGACTGTTGAGTGGAAGGGTGACAATATTTTTCTGTCAGACGTCCAAAGGCTATCATATGGCAGAACAGCGGATATAATTGCGTTTGATAGTTCCACTCCTAGACGACCATAGATGATGGACCTTAAAAAAAGTCTTACTTTTAAAAAATACTTATTTGAAATTGTTTGTACTTACTTGGGGTAATCTGGATCAAAAATAGGTTCACTCAAAAGTATCCTGGGTATTATAACAACGTTTTCAGCTGGTAAATAGATTACCCTGGGCATTTTTTCCGTCGAACTGTTTTCTAAAATGATATCCTCAGGCGGAGAAGAAATTAATTTTTTTTCGTCCAACTTTTTTTGGAAGAACACACCATTTGTTATGCTCTCAAAAAAGTTGATTTTAAATATTTTCAGTTTAAGGTAGTAATGTTTTAGGTATTCTTCTGATTTTACTTTTTCTGGGAGGCCAATTTGCAGGGACATGCTGTTTAACTAAAATAATAATAATAATAATAATAATAACAAATATATTATTGTTGAAATTTCCTACCTTAAGTTTGAGTTGTTTATATAACGCACTATATTCTATTTCTAAACTGTCTAATCTAGTTTTAACAGTTTTTAAAATAGTTTGAAAGGTTTCATTTACAAGTTTTACGGTTTTTTCAGGCAAAGGATTCTCAATTTCTTCTAAAACTTCACTGGCAAGTCCCATAAATTTCTTGGTGATTCCTGTACAAACTTCCCATCTTTCTGGAGGATGTTGGATACCTAAAGTATAAAAAAGAATAGAAAATCACTGTGCACTACTACATCTTCGACCTCCTTATCTATTTCTTCATGCCTACCTAACAATTCGCCATAAAACGTATTTATTGCTGAAGTGTATTCTGTAGATAAATAAGGCAAATAATTTTTAACCAAAGTCCATATTAAATAGCCGTTCATAGTTTTCCTATCCGTAGAGGAAATAATTAGGGATATTTCTTGTAGATATTCTTGGGATGTTACAATAACTTCAGTATTTTCAGTAATATTTGATTCTGGGTACAGACCGGTCAAAATATCAAATAAAGGCAGCTAGAAAATGTTTTTAATTTTTATTTTTTAAGCTTGTTTTCTAAACTCTTGGACTTACTTGGACGGTATCTTTAAGTTCGGTCAGTGTAAAAACGTTGTAAGTGTGTATTGGATTCTGTAGAGTAACGCTACTTGGTGTAACTTCGGCGATACGTTTTTCGTACGAAAAAATATCGGTTCCAAATTTAATCGCTTCATTTGTGGCTGTACTTAGATAGATTATCGCGTCCCTGATTAGATTTTTGTAGGCTGTTTGAACCTAAAAAATAAAATAAAAATGTTTGTTTATAATTTAAAATATCGAAAAATCAGGTACAATAACAAATATCGTATTGGATAGAAAAAAAAACAAAAAATAATTTTGAATTAAAGCTATCTTGCGGACTGGGTAAACCAAAAACTTGGTTGTAAACCATGAACATGAAAAACTCAGAAAATCGATATTAGGGAGAGTTAATCATTTTCAATTGTGTTTTCGTGGCGTAAGGAATAAGTGGCTGTAAGTAAGAGAGAAAAAAGATAGATGACGCTTGAGCAAGATTTATTATTTATTATTATTATTTGACATCTGCCATTACTCATTTTTGACGTATCCCATTTTGGAAATCTTTCACCTATCATTTTTGGTACCTGTTAAAAGATATAAAAAATAACAGATGTCACAAATGCCATGTCAAAATAAATTATGTAAAAAATGTAGGTTCTATGCTCCACGCACCACGGGACTGATTAAAATAATCAAGACCACATGTTTTAAATTTTTATATGGGGAAGGATGGTATACCACTACTTCCAGAAAAAATGTCATCTTGTCTTTTTGCCTAGGAGCTACGAAAAAAATGTTTCAACTTTTATGTGACTAAATACTGGTCGTTTTTCATAAACTACAGGTGACACATGTCAAAAATGATAGGTAGCAAGATGTCAAAAATGATAGGTAGCAGATATCAAAAATGACAGTTGACAGGTGTCAAAAATAATTTATATCATATGTCAAAATGATCCAATGAAACGAAAATACTAAACAAAATAAGCTGACATGTTATTAAATTTGTCATTATGATCATATGAGTTATTTATAAGAAGGTAAGTGTTTTTATCTATTTTGATATAATTATAATGACACCGCTTTCGGTGCTGTAATGAGATACTTTATCTCACCCAAAATTTTGATTTTATAGGTTGGCTATACTTTAAACAGCATAATATTTTGCATATTGGTTATAATATTTTTATGATTTTTCTAGTAGGTACTTACGGGACTTTTCTGGCAATAAATTTTGTTTAACACCAAAGAAAATCCTTTTTTTCTTTTTTAACATTAACAGCCGCTTATTGTAAATAAGTAAATTAAGGACGGCATGGCGAATCGATTTTGACATTAACTGTCAAACCAATGACTGTGATACCAACTATCTAAAGTAAAATTCGACCAAATTAAATTTAAGGTATAACATTTTTTTTTATAGAATTTTTGCAAAATAGATAAAATAGCATAAAGAACTCATGTCATAAGACCTTTTGTCGTACTCGTCCATTACAAAACTCGCACCTTCGTCGCTCCTTTTATAGATTGTCCGCCAGATGCCAGTTTAGTTTCTTATTTTTGTTTCATATGGCTAATTTTTTCATCTGTTATAGCTTATTTTTGACACCTGTCACCTGTAATTTTTGACATATTTCAACTGAATCATCATTTTGACATGTGTCACCTGAAAAACTATTAGTTTTTAGTGAAATGAAAGTTCACGAATTTCTTCTTAGTGTCTAGGCAGAGAGTCAAGATGATTTTTTTTCTATAAGTAGTGGTTTACCATCTTTACAACATGAAAAATTTAAAATGTGCTCCAGATCAAACAGAAAAAATTCTAGAATTTTTTGTTAGCAAATGCGAAAACAATAGAAGGTACTAAGATTCTAAGGCTTAGAAACAAACTTTTACTTAAATAATTTGTACAGCTTAAGGAGAAAAAATATGATGTAGGTATCTTGGTAATTACATAATTAATGTATTGGTTTATTTTCAAAAATGGCGAATGCGCCGGGATTAATTTATATGTATGGTAGGCTGTGCATCTTGTTTTTAAGCAACGTTGACAGCAAATTGACAGTTCTTAAATTGAATTTGTATAACAAGTTTATTTATTTGCTATACAAATAAAATTTAAAAACTGCAAATTTGGCAAGCGTTATAACTTAGTCCTATATTTTTTAACATTGCCTTGGCATGCATTTTACGCGAGTTACCACTTTTAATTGTTATTTTTTAAAACCAAATGTATGAAAAAACATTAAAATTTGTATAATAGTATAGTCAAGTTTGATAAACGCCATTTTATACACGAATTTAATTTAGGCACGAGCGAGCTTGCGAGCGAGTGCTTAAATTAATGAGCTTGACTTTTCTATACACTAGTGTATAGAAAAGTTTATTAAAGAGGTGCATACTATACTTTTTCTACAAATACTTATTATTATCTTAAAATGATTTAAATCAAAAATTTGTATAAAGCGCCATCTATGTAACAATAGGGGAATCTGTGTGTCACCGTCAAATGTCAAATTTTTATATTTTATAAACAGAGATTATAAAGGTTATAAATCGAAATGTATTTCTTGAAAATTGACAGTTTTTCACAGTGAAAGTAAAGAAAATGCTTTATGAGCACTTTACAGTGAAGTCCGTGCCCGAATTTAAGTTATAGTTTACTGTCAGCGAAATTAAAAGGTCAATACAATGTTCATATAAACTTTTCAAATATTGGCGTTGAGAAACTATTTAATACTTTTCTATTTTTGTATTGAGATAATAAAATAATTTTCACATATAGTATTATTTTACAAGGAAGGCACTTTATTTGACAACTGTCTAGTTAAAACTAACTTCAGCCCGTGACTAAAAACCTGTTGCTAACTTCAGCCAGTGACTAAAGCGCCATAAAGCCACAACTTGTCAATGTGTATTTAAAAGGTCATTTAGTGTTATGGAAACATGTACTATAAAGGGCGTTTTAAAGGTGGGAGTAGAAAAATTTCTTTATGTTTAACCTTGATCTTTTTTTGATATTTAAGAGTCGTTTTATTGTTAAATACGCAGAAATAATAAAATTTGTATGGAAAGGTAAATTGTATGACGCCAGTGTTGTCTATAATGATATTAATTTGATTGTTTACGCACAGTACAAGTTTTTAAATAAAATTATTGATGTTGGTTAAACTTTTAGAATTAATTATTGTCTTTTTACTGCAAAATAATATATCTGATACCACGAAATGTCCCAGCAGTTTTAAAAGCAATTTTATCCATAAAAAAATAATCTTTTAATATTTTTGTGATTTTGCCCAAGTTTAAAAATAAATTACTTATATTTTTAGTACCGAATGGAGTAATAATATATAGTTAATTTATTTACCCTGTCGTCTGAGTCAGTGTAGTAGTACTCCTTGTCAGGAAGTCCTAATCCTGCCGGAGATATCCTGATGGCATTTCGTCCTGGAATTCTTGGGTTAGGTTCGACGGCAATTTTGAAAAAGGGCGTTACTCCAAAATCTACGTGAAGTTTTATCAAAACTTGATTTTTATCAAAATCGGCGTCGTTCCAGTTCCTCAAAATGTACCAACCACCTGAAACGTTAAAAAAAAATTAAAGCAACTAAAAAATATTTGCACATAATGTTTGTTTTCTTTTTATTTACACGCTTTATATTAGATTGTAACTTGTAACTAAGTAACCTTACTTAGGGTTGGGACAGTTGAAATTTTCAAATGAAAATTTCAACTTTAAAAGTTTTAAACTTGAAATATTTCATTTAGTTGGAAAAGTGAAATTTTTAAAAATTTCAAATGAAATTTTCAATCCGAAAATTTCAACATGGCCTGTGAAAGTTTCAGAAATTTCATTGAAAGTTTCGCAATTTACTGAAAATTTTGCATAAATTTCACATGCGGCCTCCCCTGGGACCTTTAATAATAATATACAACAGATTCCGAATTGACCAATAAGAACGAGTTATCAAGCGTCTGGGCGTTTTTGTTTAGTTTGGCTTGGATTTGAATACACTATAAGTAATTATTGTTACTTATATGCATAAATTAATTTAAATAATTTAATTCAGTTACCAATTTAGTTTGTAAATTAAATCGGACTTTAAAATTTTTTTTAAAGTCATGATTAATTTAAACTTTTACTTTTACTATAATTGCATCGGAAAACGGATAAAAAATGCCTTTGGCTCATAAAATTTTGATGAAGTTTCTTCAATTTTCGTAAAATTTCAGTAAAATATTTAAAAATAGTAAATATAAATAAATATAAAACAATGAAAGTGGCACAATATCATTAGCTTACCAAAAAGTGCTATATCTCTTTTAGTTTTAGTAATTTTAAAAATATTTTAAAAGTAAATCTCAAGAAATTTGTGGTCACCATAGGTATTTACTATTTATATTATTGGTGCAGGGGCCCACAGAGGGGTAGGAGGTAAGGGAGGCAATTTGCCATGGTCCCCGATTGGGCTTATTTCAATATTAATATATTACACTTAAAGTGATTGAAATTTATTGAAAGTTTCAATAAATTTCATGAAATTTCAGAAATTTAGGAAATTTTAATAAATTTCATAAATTTCATGAAAATTTCAAGTACAAGCAAAAAGTGAAATTTTCCCAACCCTAGACGTATAGTCCGGCCAATCTAGACATTCGAAGGTACATAAATTTACAACAGGCTGAAAATCAGGAAAATTGTTTAGAATATAATTATAAATAAAATTTTAAAGTTCCCCATCATTCCCCTGTATGGAAAATTTTTTATTTAAGGTCAAAGGTCAAAAAAAATGATTTTTCGCGATTTTCAGCAAAACGGTAAGTTTTATCATAAAAATACACCAGACAAAAATTGTAGATCATAAAATAATCTATAAAAAATGTTTCAATACATTTTTTTCTACGAGCCACCGTTTCGGAGATATAACGATTCGAAAAATTGTAAAAGTTATAATCGCCATAATAAGCACACGTTTATACGCCACCTATGAGGTAGTTTACTTAGCGCGTTTTTTACCTTGGTTTTCCCAGTAGGCCTTTTTCACGGGTCAGTTGTGATCCTGTATAATTTGAAACTATTGCAAAATAACGGAAATTAGCATTGATTGGAAAAGATAATAGCGATGTAAATTTAAAAAAAGTACTGAAGTTTATTATTCGTAACATTTAAATTCTTCTTCTTGTTCTTCTTCTTGATTTTCTTCTTGTTCTTGTTCTCCTTATTCTTGTTCTTCTTCATCATCTTCATCCTTCGTTGGAATTAAATGAATCCTCCACTGTTGGTGATTCAACATAGAGCACGACCGTCCTTGACAATTCGTACATGGCAGAGAATAAAACAGTCCGACTTTTTTGCAACCACATTTAGCACTTGCAGTTGCAAAAAATTGTGTTCAGCAGTTTTTCTGGCGCAGGTGGGAGTAAAGTTTGAACTGGTTCTAATGTGTTGTTGACCAACTTCCAACCCCAGTCTGTAGGGTCTAGCTGATAACCAAGCCACACTTGAACTTGGTAATATACCCGAAAAAGATGTTGATGAGCAGCAACTGAGGTTGGAGGAAGACAAGCTAATTGAACTTGTTTTTTACTTCTAGAATTTTTAACGAAACATGCATATCGATACTTATCAAAGCAGGTAGTTTTTTTAGGAGCTCCGTATATAGAAAGAAATCGAATGCCGTTGGTGATTCTTCTTGTTCCGAAGCACCTTTTCCTCGACTTAGGCCGAAAAATCTCCGCTCGTTCGAAAGTTAAGGGCAGACAACGGAACGTGCCAAATTTGACGGAAAAATCGAAAAAAAGTGGACTTGGGCCTTTTCGACACCGGAAAAATTTGGTTCGCGGATTGGTCTCGTGGGAGAAAAAAATCATGCAAATTTCAACCTTCAACGGCCTCCGAGCTACGGCGCTTAGAAAAAAAAGGATATACAGACAACGGAAAAAATAAATATTGCAAACGGGCCGGATCCGCCGGAAACTTTTCGAACGGCGTTCTTTTTTTATTTTTTTCGAAAAATATTCAAACGTTTTTAGGGCGAGAGAAATTTTCGAAATTGGCCAAACGAAATACACGAATCGACGGGTAAAAGACCAAAGTTTGACATACTAAAAGATGAGCTTCATCGAATGAAAACTAATCGGCCAGAAGCCCGTTTAATTTTTGTTGGGTACGTATTTAAAAAATTTAACCAATTAAAATCCCCGAAATCAAATCGATAAGGTGGCAAATGACAGGTGGCATATGACAGGGACAAATGACAGGTGACAGATGACAGGTGACAGATGACAGATAATAGGTGACAGATGTCAAGTTAACAGTTGACAAGTGACTAATGACAGTAGACAGATAACACTTATAAGGTGACAGAAAACGTGAGAAATATAAAATTCATCTTTAAAATTACTACCCAGTTTAGGTGGATGAGCACCATCTATAGCAGGTCACAGATGTTGTCTCGAGGTTACAATGGCGTATAAATTAATTATTTTGTACCCAGTCCCTTAAGGGGCTCTAGAGATGTATACGTGGCGTACTCATGCATATTATGACGATTACAACTTTAACAACTTTTCAAATCGTTATATCTCAGAAACGGTGGCTCGTAGGAAAAAAAGTATTGATACATTTTTTATAGATAATTTTATGATCTACAATTTTTAATTGAAGTATTTTTATGATAAAACTTACCGTTTTGCTAAAAATCGCGAAAAATTAATTTTTTTGACCTTTGACCTTAAATAAAAAAATTTCCATACAGGGGAATGATGGGGAACTTTAAAATTTTATTTATAATTATATTCTAAACAATTTTACTGATTTTCAGCTTGTTGTAAATTTATGTAACTTCACTGTTATTTTTTGGTCTAATTTGACCGGACTAGTAATACTAAATCCAATATGGCGAATGACCTATTTTTTACAATCCCCTTGACATGGGGATCAAATGAAAGGTCTTGTCAAGCTGATGTCATTCTAATTTCAATATGGCGGATCATTATTTACCACTAAATATATGACATTTAACTGCCTTTTGAAACAACCAAACTACAAACTTTAATTATATTTCTGTGAATATAGATTTTTGGGTATTGACCTTCATGATATAATATAGGTTGATGGTTTTATATTGTTTATATTAATTTATTAATATGCATAATTAAAAAAGAAACTAAGGTCACAACATTATATTAATATATTATATTACCACTTGGTTTATTAAAATAAAAGATGGGGTACCTACTTATATTTCGCAATTTAAAAGTCTTTAACAAATAACAATTAATAGGTCAAGCTATTATAGTATTTAAATGAGAGACTGATATTTTAGGTGCAGATTCATAATTAATCCAGTTTTAAATATCGCAATATTTTAAATTAATCTTATAAGTTATAACCTTTATTTTATTTATATAGGATTTTCCTCAGAATAATTTAAATCTAGATCATCTGTAATACAGGTCTACAAATTTTCAGCCTTTGAGGCGATTTTTTTAGTTACAAAAGAAGTCACAGAGGTTCAAATCTGGAGAATACAGAGGATGCCGTAGCAATTCCTATCCTAATTCCTTGATTTTTTTCAATGGTGATAGCGGCTTTGTTAGCTGGGGAATGTGATTGGTACAGAGGCCATCTTTAATTGCATATTTGGAATCTACGCATAAAAGTTTTTTACAAAATGTTTTAAAGCGTTTTAAAAACGAGTGCAATCTCCTCTTTTGACCAATTCTCGCATACAATATTTTATTCAACAAGGAACTTAACAATTTTGTTTGATATTTTATGGAAAACTTACTTTTTTCAAAATTCCCAGGTAAGGAATAAGGAGGTCATAACAACTTTTGGTTTTGACAGGTTTTAATTTTTTTTTTTTGAAATTATTTAAGAACCGTTGATGTTTTCCCCAATTTTGAAATGCCGTTTTATTAGACTTGTAGCTTTTCAAATAAAAAAGATACCCATACATAGAAGAATACGAGGTGTGTTCAGAAAATAACGGGAATTGTTAAATTTCGCGGGTTCGGAGGGTCCGGTTGTCATAAAATTTTCTTTATTATGTTGGTATACATGCCCCCGAAGTATGATAAAAACTTTAGCTGTTTTCATTGTTTACTTTGTCTGAGGCAGCCGCTAAGGTTAGACGTGTTTTATGAGCTCGGCGATTTTTCGTTCGTTAACCAGTGCTTAAAAAATGAAATAAATTCTGTGAAATGTTAACAAAGGCCTATAGTGAGTCTGCTATAAGTAAAACAAGAGTTTACAAGTGGTATAAGAGTTTCCAAGATGGCCGTGAAGACGTTGAAGATGACGAACGCCCCGAACGCACAAGCACATTAACAACCGATAAAAACATGGAAAAAGTGGAATAAATGATTATAAACCTTTAAAGAAGTCGCTGATGATGTTGGTATATCGATTGGCTCATCCTTTTCGAATGTTTTGGGTATGAAACGCGTGGCAGCAAAATTTATTCTAAAATTGTTAAATTTTGAACAAAATTTTTGGCCAAAAACAATACTGTAATGATGCCCCAGCCTCTATATTCGCCGGACATGCCTCTGTCTGACTTTTTCCTATTCCC